TTTTTAAGCCACCAAAGCACTCTAAAAGGGTCTCATTGAACTCGTGAAAAACGCAATAATATATTTTTTATTAACCTTAGGAGTGTTTTTGTGATTTATTTGGATTATTATTGGTTTTACTTATTGTTTATTTAAGTGAAATGGTTTTTTTTTTTTTTTTTTTTTAATAATTAATAAATATTTTTTTAGTTTTGAATAATTAATTTAGTTTGTTTATTTTATGGATTGATTGGATATTGTTGTTATTACTCTATTAGCTGTGTCGGATAAACAAATATTGATTATTAGTTTAGTTTTCGCTTATCCCGTTATTCACCCTTCACCTGGGAGCCAATGATGTAACTACCGCGGCCGTTGTACATGTGGTAGAGCATCTACCACGTGGCAATGTAGTCAACGTACCAGGACTGACGACCCGAATGAACGGGATTTTGGCTAGGCCACCAGGGAAAAGACTGATACGCATGCCGCGTTTACGGTACCCCCAGTATTTTGCAGCTGATCAAGTTTATTTATCCTCTGTCGGCATGCATAAGTTCTATCTCACTCTTCGTGAGGTATTACTGAGGCATTAATCCCTCATTTGAAAATAGTTTTAATTAAATTTAATTATTTTAAGTGCTGGTATTAATATCTACCTGCATTAGTTTTGGTCGGGGCCACACGACGGTCGTTTAACGTTTGTAATAAACATTTCCTGGCTGAGTGATTTGTCAGTCGTTTTCCTCCAATTTTGCCAGTTGGTTCTGAATAGAATACAAGTTAAATGTCATCATATGAAAGATATATGTTTGACCGATTCATTTTAAGTTAAATGTTTGCATGCGGTCACGAGCTATAACGGTAACGTTAGCACAAACCAACAGTGTTCGTCATAACCCCTGTATCTTTTGCAAGTTTACTCATACTGTTGAGCTTTAAACCATGTTCTCGTTTTTTGAAGGTTAGTGTTAGTAGCAATGTAGTTTTTAGTATGTAACACGCCAGTATTCAATTTAATCTTAGTTCGTGGCTTCTGGACAGTGGTAGGTGTCTCTGTGGGCTGACCATGTCCTAGGAGGACATAATAATGCCGATATTTCTATAAGTATTACCAGTTCTTGTTCTTGTTATAAATGCATTCACCTTTATCAGTACCTACACACATGCGCACATCCCTCCATTCCATTACCGGGTATTCTGTTACGCCCCTCATTCCAAAGTGCTCTGTGTTTACACACCGACACGTTCTGTGTAACCTTTTTGGTTTAAACGTTCCTAATTGCCCTGGTTCGTATAGTTTGTCGCTGTCTTCTTCGATCAGTATGTCAGCTCTTTTGTCTAGATTTCCTTCACCCTCACATTTTGATTATTGTTTACTTTTAATCACAAGCAACAATTTGCCAAATTGGTCAGTCGTCATGATTTTTAATCTATATTTATGTCTTATAAAATGGCGGTCAAAGCTGCTAGCCATCCCATGAATTGTACTAGGTTCATATTTTTTCCTAATGTTTATGGGACAAAATGCACAATAATCTTCAAAGCTCAATCGGGGGAGTATATTATATTTTCCTTGTGTCTACGTGTACATTTATGGTGTTCTTTTTCAAAAACTCCGTCAAAGTGTTAACGTCTTCTTGTTTGCCTCCCCTAAAATAAACCCATCAAAATATGTTGCATTGCATAACTCTGGGTCTGTGCTATTACCTTCAGAAAATCATGTTCATCAGCCTGGTTAGAATCGGGTCTACTGACTAAGTTAAAACCTCCGTGGATACATTTGACTGTTTTATGCGTATGAAGGTTTAGAACCCCTCGTAGAAACACTTTGCTGTTCTGATTGACTAGTTGAAGGTTAGATACCTCCGCAGAAACGTTAGACTGTTTTGATGTAGCGATACTAGTAGATTGGAAACCCGAATAGAAGCATTTGTCCCGTCTTTGCGTTACGGTCAACGTCAAATCTGTACCGGGCTTCCGTGCATTACGTGCCATCATCCATTTTGGTTTCATAGACGATGAACACCAAGTTATTGCGAGTTCCCACTACATTCCCCGATACCCCTACGTGTATAAGTACCCTGTCACTTATCTGGACCGCCGGCAAATCAGCCATATTCTCCATGTTTGTAGACTACATAAAAACAAAAGAACGTGGTGTGAAAAAGTAGTCAGAGGTCACAGTTCAAATCCAGATTAAAGGTCGAATTATCAACCAATGGAAATACATTATTCTAGACACATCATCAAGAGTACATTGACCAATGAAATAACGTCCATGGTGTTATCTACTAGTTGGTAACCATCTATGTATACTCATCAAAGGTTTACCGAAAGGGTCGGGAGTGAGGAAACCTACAGCGGTTTTGAGAGGAAAATAGTTACCAGAGACTTGAATCTTCATAATTACCATTTGTATTTTATTGTAAAACGGCTGTTTTAGTCTGAGATGTCGACAGACGACCATGCCCCCATCCTAACAAACATCGTAACTCTTCATTGCCAGAGGGTAGAAACTAATTCCAAAATGTCAACCCGGCAAAAGATACGGACAGTCCACTGACGGAATGTGGTATTAGGGAGGAGAGGACGACCGGCATGTGGTATTAGGGAGGAGTGGACGACCTGAATGTGGTATTAGGGAGGAGTGGACGACCGGAATGTGGTATTAGGGAGGTAATGACGACCAGAATGTGGTATTAGGGAGGAGAGGACGACCGGAATGTGGTATTAGGGAGGTAATGACGACCAGAATGTGGTATTAGGGAGGAGAGGCCGACCGGCATGTGGTATTAGGGAGGGGGGGACGACCTGAATGTGGTATTAGGGAGGGGTGCACGACCCGCATGTGGTATTAGGGAGGAGAGGACGACAGGAATGTGGTATTAGGGAGGTAATGACGACCAGAATGTGGTATTAGGGAGGAGAGGATGACCGGAATGTGGTATTAGGGAGGAGAGGACGACCGGAATGTGGTATTAGGGAGGTAAGGACAACCGGAATGTGGTATTAGGGAGGAGTGGACGACAGGAATGTGGTATTAGGGAGGAGAGGACGACCGGAATGTGGTATTAGGGAGGAGAGGACGACAGGAATGTGGTATTAGGGAGGAGAGGACGACAGGAATGTGGTATTAGGGAGGAGAGGACGACCGTAATGTGGTATTAGGGAGGAGAGGACGACCGGCATGCAATATTAGGGAGGAGATGATGACCGGAATGTGGAATTAGGGAGGAGAGGACGACAGGAATGTGGTATTAGGGAGGAGAGGACGACAGGAATGTGGGATTAGGGAGGGGTGCACGACCGGAATGTGGTATTAGGGGGGAGAGGACGACAGGAATGTGGGATTAGGGAGGGGTGCACGACCGGAATGTGGTATTAGGGAGGTGAGGACAACCGGAATGTGGTATTAGGGAGGAGAGGACGGCCGGAATGTGGTATTAGGGAGGGGTGCACGACCGGAATGTGGAATTAGGGAGGAGAGGACGACAGGAATGTGGTATTAGGGAGGAGTGCACGACCCGCATGTCGTATTAGGGCGGAGAGGACGACCGGAATGTGGTATTAGGGAGGAGTAGACGACAGGAATGTGGTATTAGGGAAGTAAGGACGACTGGAATGTGGTATTAGGGAGGAGGGGACGACCGGAATGTGGTATTAGGGAGGAGATGACGACTGGAATGTGGTATTAGGGAGGAGTGGACGACAGGGATGTGGTATTAGGGAGGAGAGGACGACCGGAATGTAGTATTAGGGAGGAGTGGACGACCGGAATGTGGTATTAGGGAGGTAAGGACAACCGGAATGTCGTATTAGGGAGGAGTGGACGACAGGAATGTGATATTAGGGAGGAGAGGACGACCGGAATGTGGTATTAAGGAGGAGAGGACGACCGGAATGTGGTATTAGTGAGGAGAGGACGACAGGAATGTGGTATTAGGGAGCTAATGACGACCAGAATGTGGTATTAGGGAGGAGAGGACGACCGTAATGTGGTATTAGGGAGGAGAGGACGACCGGCATGCAATATTAGGGAGGAGATGATGACCGGAATGTGGAATTAGGGAGGAGAGGACGACGGGAATGTGGTATTAGGGAGGAGAGGACGACCGTAATGTGGTATTAGGGAGGAGAGGACGACCGGCATGTGATATTAGGGAGGAGATGACGACCGGCATGTGGTATTAGAGAGGAGAGGACGACCGGAATGTGGTATTAGTGAGGAGAGGACGACAGGAATGTGGTATTAGGGAGGAGTGGACGACCGGAATGTGGTATTAGGGAGGTAAGGACAACCGGCATGTGGTATTAGGGAGGAGTGGACGACCGGAATGGGGTATTAGGGAGGAGAGGACGACCGGCATGTGATATTAGGGAGGAGATGACGACCGGAATGTGGAATTAGGGAGGAGAGGACGACCGGAATGTGGGATTAGGGAGGTAAGGACAACCGGAATGTGGTATTAGGGAGGAGAGGACGGCCGGAATGTGGTATTAGGGAGGGAATGACGGCCAGAATGTGGTATTAGGGAGGAGAGGATGACCGGAATGAGGTATTAGGGAGGAGCGGACGACCGGAATGTGGTATTAGGGAGGAGAGGACGACCGGCATGTAATATTAGGGAGGAGATGATGACCGGAATGTGGAATTAGGGAGGAGAGGACGACCGGAATGTGGTATTAGGGAGGAGAGGACGCGTGGCGCATTACTCCAGAATATTACTAAGACGAGATCGTTGTCAATTTCAAGGTCATTCCAATAAATGTCTTCTAACGATAAGCTCTGGCCAGGATAAGCATTTTAGGCCTATACATCCAAATAGTTATTCATTTACCCAAACTTGGAATTTGTTATTTTATGAACAAATATTACCCGGGAATTTATTGACATTGTGTCCAATTTATAGATTTTACCCAATGACGGGTAAAGCTTACCCAATGTCGGGTAAAACTTATGAAGTAATTTAAAATAAGTAAGCCATTTTCTATACTGTACCCATATGAGTTTTGAGTTTTTAGAGTGACCTATTCCTTTTTCAAGACAACACTAATGCTACGTACATAGTTAGCAATGGGATTTGCAGACTTGTGCTACATTGTAAATCCTTATTCACAACGGGGCTTGTTTCCTAATTGCACAAAAGTGTCATAATATGAATAGGAGAGGTGAGAAGCGTTATCTGCAAAGATATTTTGCTTTAACAGACAGGTTGCCTTTTTGGTAAAGGGGAATATTACATGACTTCGGCCATGCACCCAATAGACAACCCAGCCGCTAGAAACGCTGCTTTAACGGTTATACTCAAACCAACAACACCGATTGATTGCAGGATTGCAAAAAGACTTCCGGCGGAAATATTCCCGAATGACATCAGCCAGGCCGCCATTGTTCCACTGATAATTCCACCGGAACCGAACCCAAGTGCAGCCAATATTGGACCAAATGCAGCCAAACCTCCGACGACGATGGCCCCTCCCGTTATTGCCCCTATCAGGCATGGCATGGAAACTGGAAATAGAATGAGCGGATGATAGTTTTTAATGGTTTACAACATTACAATAATCAACGTTCTAAGAATTATTCAATTTTTCCAAAGTTATTAATTTTACCTAAAAACTGGTAATACTATCTTGATGCATGCTTGGTATTATCATGAAATATAGAAACAAAATGTACCTGTCTGGGTTAAGGATTTTGTATGAAGATGAGGATGTAAGTCGTTTGTGTCTATCTGAGATGATGTGACACTGACATAATTTACTTTTATACAGAAAAGCTGTAAACAAAGTATGCAACAAGGCGTGTAATAACCACCTTTGACGTCTTTCGTCTTCATGAAAACAAATTGGGATTCACTTCGTTTGTCTCCAATTTTGACGTAAATTTCAATTTGATAATCTGTGTCGGCCTCAAGCTCTTTGTCGACAAGCACAATGTCGTTCCTGCTTTTTAACCGTACCACTTCACGCTTATCTTTTGTTTTGCTTATAATGATATGTTTCCAAATAACTTCTGATGTCTTGATCATCATCAGTTGGATTGATGTTGAGTTGGTGTAACTTTTTTCTTCGTCGAGAAAAGGTGGCTTCGGGCTTCCTTCAATTGTAAGATATAAAACAGAAACATATTTATATAAGACGAGGATTAACAGTTGCTTTGAACATCTGTGCAATATTTACAATGGAGATCTGTCGCGTACAGTTCTTATTTGAATCTGGCGACTTTTTCATTTTCATATAACAGAATAGGTTATGATGTAGACCCCCCCCCCCCCCCCCCCCCCAAACTTGTTTCTTCATTCATGGTGAAATAATAGGTTTTTTTTCTGTGTGCTGTTAACGTGATCTAAATCAGTTCTCCTCTTAGATAAGTCAGTTACCAAACAGTTACGAGTTACGATATACCAAAGTTGTATCTTTTGCGCATCCAATGTGTTTAAAAACATCTTTCCAAACTGACCTATCTCCATTTACAGTTATCCGCTGTGTCCGGTTATTAAGGAAAACATTTATTGTTCGGAAATCGTCGAGCATCAAAAGCTGTATGCTAATAAACGATATGCTTGTTTTGCTCAACTTAAGCTTACCCTTTGTCTTTTATATAATATAAATACACTTACAATGTTTGATCCGGTCATTTTTGACAAACTTTTTGTCCAAAAACTGTCAACCTATCAGGGCACAGAACGTGCCAAGTTTGCTCAACTTCGAACCTAGCTTCGAATTTCGGAACCAGTAATGCGGATTGCTTCGCAGAGGCTTAGCAAAGCATAAAGAGGAAGCAGTCCTTAAAGACTTCCTACTGGAAAGGGGAACCGTATGTGACCTAGCGGTGATTCAATCCAGTGAATTGAAGGAGATATCTACTCAAAAAATTATCTTATTGCCATTTGTTGTTAATTATCAAATATGTTACTTTTTATTGTCAAACGACAGTCATGTGATGTACTAAATCTAGTATGACCCTATCCCTCCAGAACAGTTCTCTTATAGTGTCGTCTATAGAGGAATAACGGCGCGGGCACTATACCTCCCCAGACAACACTATAAGAGAACAGTTCCCTCGGGAAAGGGCCATAATAGAATAATGAGTTGCTGGAATTTGATATCTAACTAAATGGGCATTGCTTCTACGTGTATACAAAGTTAATTGGTCTTGGCTTTTACTAAACTTTATTATTAAGATCCCTCCGAGAGCATTTCGTCACAATGCTCACAGTTGCAAGTTTTACACTTCTACAAAACTTGAGTCATTTGAATGAAACTTTTATATTGTACTTGAATTAACGGAATTATAATATTTGTTTTCAAGCATATCACTTAAAATACCTCACTCCTTAATTGTATGCTAACAAAATATGATAAGAGCGTAGCCCTGACGGAAGCACGTGTACACAGAGGGTTTAGTTCTTAATTTGGGAGGAAGCTGGAGTATCCGGAGAAATCCCGCGTGGTCGGGCAGGTGACCGGAATTGAATCCGGCCATCTTGGTGAAGACGACACTGCGCCACCCGACCTATCATATACGTTACGCACAAGAACAAATATCTACTTTAGCTTTGACTTGAGGAAAATAGCGTCATTGATGCGAACATTATATTGTGAATACATTTTTACCAATCATTGATGATATAAAAAATCTACATATGGGAGACCGGGGCAAGTTCGGCCATCCCTGATATTTTTTGTTTTTGAGCTAATATTTACAACTTTAAGGATCTTAGCCGTTTAGTTGGCTGAGCATTCAACAACGAAAAAATGGCGAGGAAAAACTCTAATGTAAAACGACTAAAGGGCCTGTTTCCAGTAATGTTAATTCTCCATAGGAGCCTGCCCCCGTATAATTTCTTATCAAGCTCAACTACTGTTTTTTTCTTTTCCGAAGAATAATTTTACACCTTTCCGACACCCAGATTTCATAATTTCAGTGAAAATATATTTTTATAAAGTTGTCAATTTCAGCATCAAAGACATAAGTTCGTAAATAAAAGAAGGTTATCTCGAAACTGTAATTCGCAACATAGTATAAATTTCTTTTGATAAATATTTCCAAAACATCGTGTTTAATCATAAAACATAAAAAAAATATTCTCGGATGAAAATGCACTTGCAGAGACACAATTATGAAGAAAAATGCCATAAAATTGCAATTTTCTCCCGTTATATAGTTTTGGATGCAAATTTCCATCAGAAAATCGGATAGAGCTTTACTTGTTTCATATGTGTACCAAAAATCAGCTAATTCCATGTGGTGGAACGTTCTCATATCGCCGCCTGAATGTGGTTGTAAATTGAAAGAAAAGGGGAAATGAGTAACAACCTTGTCTGAAACCCTATTATATAGCTTATTATATACAAACTTTTATATTGAATATCAGAGCGGATATTTTCATGACAGTTTTATGATGTGTAACGACTAAATAAACAGTATCGATATAAAGATTTACACTGAGGACACCCTGATACATGAATACTGTTCTATCTCAAGTTGTCCTCTTCTGAATTTTCTGATCGTGTGGCCTTGTACATTTATCCGTATCTTCTTGTCTTTGTCTATACGTTTACGGAATCATTGACTCGACGCTAGCTATTCTTGTCTCACTTTCCTTGTTTTATTGTCCCATCTCCAAAGCGTTGTGGCTCTGTCAGGGTTGGGACCCTGACTTGTCTCACTTTCTTTGTGCCTGCCGACCACGCCACATCGAATAGATAGATTATCCATATGAAATACTTTATTTTGTTCTAAGTAATCAATCAATTCTGCGCTTCTTGGAGGTATTGAATGTGATTTATTATATTGTCTTGTTATTTTGTGTAATTAGTTGTTCGTTATTTATCACACATTTTCGCATAATTGTACCAAACTACTAAGTATTAGCTGTTTACAGCAATCATCGGTGGCTTGCTATTTTGTTACTTTATCGACGCTTCATAAACCAATCGTTATTGTTTCAAGATGGAGGGTAAATGTGTTGGAGAAGGGTGTCAAGTATACTTCAAGAAACGTAGTGGCAATAAGAACAGAAGTGCACGCAATGTAAATAGTCCACAATATAAATGGCTCCTAGATACGCTGGTGCAACAAGGATTGATGTCAGCAAAGGAACAAGCACTTATTTGCCAGAAGTGCTACATGAAGTATCTTCGGAACAAAAATCAGCCTGAACCTGAACCCGAGCAGAACCAGGAAATAGAGGAAGAAGACGACTCCCCGTCCCATATCCTGCCGTTGCTGACCCTTCATGATCTTTTGAATGGATCATCTTCACACAAAAAATGCTGTCTCTGTCTTGTTACCTTTGCAAGAAATGGAACAAAATCATCAGTCTTACCAAAACGTGCAAGACATCACCTGATCTATTCACACAAACTGTGGTGTCCCACCTCATCCCGCGTCTGCTCCATTCACCTTATTGGTAACGACTTAGATCCGTCTACAGAGGTTGTCCTTGATGGTAGAGGTTCCTTGGAATCTCAGTTACCATCAAAATCGTCCGAAATCATTAATGACCTCCTAGAGGTGTCGCACGTCCTTTCACAGAACCAGTCTGCGTTTACAATAAGCTTTTCTTCTCTTGATGACTCGGCATGCATGGCCTGGACAGGTTGGTCCAAAGATCAGTTCCTCGAAATCCACTCGCACTGTTCCCCATATCTTTCATCTGGTATATATACCAAGACTACACACGATGCTCTATTACTGTTCTGGGTAAAACTGAAAACCGACATTTCCTGGAGTCAGTGTTCTTCTCTTTTTGGAATTTCCAAGTCAAGTGTGTCCAAAACTTTCCACTCCATAGTACAGGCATTAGACACATCGATAGTCCCACAATTTCTAGGTCCGGATCACTTGACAAGAGAACAGTTGCTCGGGCACAATACTGTCTTTTCAGAAGCATTTTTTGGAGATAAAGCCACTGCCATATTAGATGGCACCTATATTTATATCCAGAAAAGCTCCGACCACAAGCTCCAGAGAATGTCCTACTGTGGCCAGAAGAAGAGAAACTATCTCAAATTCATGAGCATCGCCTTACCAGATGGCTACATTCTGGACACAGTAGGACCATTCACTGGCAGCGAAAATGATGCTACAATTACAAAAAAAGTCATGGACAAGCTAGTTACTTGGCTACAACCAGACGACAACGTTGTCGTTGACCGAGGTTTTAGAGATGTCCTACCAGTTCTCGAAGCCTCTGGCCTCAATGCTAGCATGCCGTCATACCTGAAACCCGGTCAAAGTCAACATTCTGACGTCCAAGCAAATCTTGACAGAACTATCACCAAATCGAGGTGGATTGTGGAATCCTATCATGGTCGTCTGAAACACTGGACGTTCTTCCGAACGCAATTGGTGTCTAACAGCTTTATCAATGTCATCGAGGCTTTGCTTCGAACCGTCACAGCCTGTCTGAATGGTATTAGAGGACCGATCTACCAGAGATCTCCAGAGAGAGATGCCAAAGATAGGCTAATGGCTGAACGTATGAAGGACCGTTTGACAACACCGAATGGTTTAGCTCAGAGAGTCAAGACAGATCCGGATCTATCTAGACGGGCAAGGTCCGAGTTTGTCAAGATGGATGCATCTTCCGTACTGTTTCCCCGTCTCGATCTTGATTACTTGAGAACCATTACGTGTGGAACGTATCAGATATCTCTGGCTCCTGGTTACATCGCCGAACATTTAAGTGATGACGGAGACTATGAGGTGTGGCTTTACCAGCACTCCCCAGACCTTCTCCGATGTCAAATACATTCTCGACACAAAAGCCAAACGAAATATAACGTTTGGATACGGTTCACCGTTTCACCCGATGTTGAGGCCCCAATAAAGGACTACTACTGCCAGTGCCCAGTTGGAGAGAGAACGATGGGAATGTGTGCGCACATCTCCAGTATCTTGTACTACCTTGGGTATTACAGGACGCTGGAAAACCCTCGACCATTACAACCACAGGTAAAGAAATTCCGACAAAACTTGAAATAGTTTTCCATGCGGCAACGGAGTGCATATGTCGAAAGTATGTTTGGGGCTCGATATGAAAGATCCCCGTTACCATGTGACTAACCAAACTTATAAATATAGGTATTATACAATCGCCCGTAGCTATGAACACTCCCGTAAATGCGAAAACCAACCAAAATCATAAGGAACACGTTTTGTTTGTTGTTCTGTCTATTTGTCAGCCAATGTCTTCAACCACGGGGACTTGTGAAGTAGCCATCTTGGATTTTTTTTATGAAAAAGTGTTTCTCTCACTTTTTTTCATATCTGTGTACATATTCTCAACATACCGAGCAAATACTCTCGTTTTTTTGTTAATTATCTAAAGAAAGTCGAAAATCGGCAATTCAACCATAGGCTAATTCAACCCAACATTTGAAAATGTTCCACCACTTACATTTTGATGATTTTTCCTCTCATCAATAGCATATTACGTACTGTTTAATAGGATAAAAATTG